TATACAGTGTGGATACAAATTGTGGAATATTGCTTATATTTCTTAAAATATTCGTCATATCAAAAACATGTTTTAATAAAAGTGTTAGGGGAAATTATTTCCTGTTTAGTGATATCAAGCAATCTTTCGTATCACAAAAAATGTGGTTGCCAAGGTAACCGACTTAATTTTTTTAAACGGCACCATATACTTTTTTTGGTGAAAATTAATACATTGGACCTTCCTAAATACGATACAATACAATTTTAATGGGGTCACATAAGAAAAAAATACAAAAAAAATAAGTTTTCTATTATGCTTTTGACACTGTTTATCAAAATAATTATTAACATCAAGTTAGTCATGCCAAAATCAGAACAATGCGAAACTGTCACTAGCTGTCAATTGCTTGTAATTGTGTGCATTGTTGCAGTAAACGTACTTTTTTACTCAATTTTCTGTGTACTTAAGTACTTAGTAAGTGGCGCTTGAATTAAATGAAACGGAAAGAATACAGGTTTTAATGATGGTGGGGATATGGTGACAGGAAAATAACACAGCGGGAAGTATGTGAGTTGTTTAACGAACTTCATCCAAACAGACCTCAAATAACACAATCTTGTATTTCCAAATTGCTAAAAAAATTTAACAAACTACAAATAGGGCGGCCGAAAACAGCTACTGATGACGATACTACTTTAAATGTGCTTCTGTCAATACAAGAGAACCCACATTTGTCCAGTCGGGAAGTTGGTAGGGAGGGTGCAAGCCATTTCACATTGTTCTGTATTGAAACAGCTCCACAAGGAAAAGTTTCATCCATACAAGATGCAGCTCGTTCAAGAACTTGTGCAAAATGATTTTGCAAAACGTGTTGAATTTTGTAACACTATGTTAGATAAATTTAACATGGATTTGGAATTTGGCAAAAAGATTGTGTTCACCGATGAAGCCACTTTTATGCTTCATGGATTTTATAATAAACAAAATTATCGATATTGGTGTCAAGAAAATCCTCACTGGATACGAGAAACTCGAACCCAGCGACCAGAAAAAATTAATGTCTGGACAGGTATACTAGGAAATAATATTATTGGACCATTTTTTATTGATGGGAACCTAGCTGCCGACAAATATCTTAATTTNTTGCGATATTTTAAAAGTCCTTGAAGACATTTTATTTATATATTAAACTTAGACTAAGGGAGTTAATGTACCAATTTATGCGGTATTATTCAAAATCCATATAGGTATTGCCTACAAATAAAATTAAACTTTGCTCAAGATAATCAATATTTACTTTCAAATGTTTTTTTTTGCCGCTTTTCCTTCAACATATACCACTGGACTACGTGAACTGATAATTTCTGTTTCAACAGAACTCAAAAGTTTATTTGTATTTAGATAAATTTTGTTAGACGCAGAAGCGTCCAATCTACACAGCGACACGAAAATCACTTCGATCGAACTACCCCTGCGCCCAGCGATCACTACCGAATTTTTGTTATACTTTGAAAATTTATACTTCCTCATGTATCTATACAGGGTATAAGAAGTTTGACTGCCATTTCTTCAGCATGAGAGAGTTAACTAAATCTGTACATCCTTACGTAATTGATAAAAAGGCAGAAATGCCTGAAAGAGGTCTAACAATTACAAGATGTATTATTTTCTTAATAAAAACCCTTCTTTTCGTTTTTTTATAGTATCTTGCTTATTATTACAGATGGACCCAACAAACCCTATATGGCTATGCTCGACAGGGAACGTTCTATCCAAATATGTAAAAATATACAGGGTGTTCCATTTAACTTAACAAAGTTCCGCGGCCATTTTGTTTGGACTTCATTTGTTTTTCTATTATCATTTTCAAAAAATTCATAAAAACTCGTGCAACTTTTATATTTCACATTTTTTTAACTCTTAAAACAAAAAAGTTAATCACCCTGTACAGTACTTTTTTTTCATTGATCGAATTGAAAAATAGTAATATTAATTCACAGCAGAATTTGATTCTAATTTTTTTTACTCTTGTTAAATTTTAAAAAACTTTATAGTTTTCAAGAAAAACCGTATTAACTGACACAAGATTTTAACAGTGTCCATTAGAAAATAATCAAAAAGTCAGTAGTAGGCTTTATCTTTCAAATTTGACAATTGGCCAAATAAATTTTACTTTTTTACTTTACTTCTCTCCTAATTCCACAAAAAGAAAACAAGTACCTAGGTAGTTATTAAATAAGCGAATACTGTATTAAATAAAATACACAAATAAATAATAAAAATAACAATTGATATTTTTTCAACAACAATCGGAGGCAATTGTTGAAATAAAATAATTCTATTACTAATTGACAAGTTTGAAAGATAAATTCATTGCCTACTACTGACTTTTCGATTATTTTCTAATAAACACTGTTAAAATCTTGGTTCAGTTAATACGGTTTTTCTTGAAAACCATAAAAAAAAATTAAAATTAAATTCTGCCGTGAATTAATATTATTACTTTTCAATTCAGTCAATGAGAAAAAAGTTCGGTACAATTTTAGGGGTAAGTCATCCCCAATGAACACTTTGTGGTGCTTCATTTAACTTTAAATCATAGTCAAAGAAGACCAGTAATAAACCTAAATCATGTACCAAAGGTTCTTGTGCGGTATAGTGTTGCAGAGATATTATTTTTTTTTCGAAATTTAGGGCCTCACTTTGGCTTTGTATACATATAGGTAAGTTTGGTTAAATTACAATATTTTGGACACCCCTGCATGCACCTGCCCTGTGTCGATTTTTATGCGGGACACCCTGTATACAGGGTATCGCGCTTAAATGTAATACAAGCCTGTAACTTCTGTATTTTTCGGCCGATTTCAAATTTTTTTTTAAGGGTAAAAAAGTCTATCTAACTGTGATACTGCTGTTTTTATAAATGCAATACCCGGCCAATTAGGACGCGTTTTTTTGACGTCAAAACAGCTAATTGGTTTTAGCGATTTTTTTTTTTCAAAGAACAGATTACGTATTCATTCTCATTTAGCATCTCTTAAAACGTTCATTCTCATTCAGCATCCCTTATCACGTCTTATCATCAAGTTCCATCAAGTTCGATTCATCTTCAGTTAATGTTATTGTTATTGCTATTATTATTGTTACTGTTATTGTTGATTTTATGCACAGTACACAGTGAAAACTTTTGAAGGCACTCTGGGCAGTTTCAA